AACCAGGGTGAATATTGCAGAGCCACTGCAGTTGCTCATAAGGGCGAACAACTGCCGTGGTGCTGCAATATTCGTAATTTAGGGACATGCTCGTAAGCACTGGGGGGCATTCATCATGTAACTTTGAATGAGCATTAAACGAACACTCGTAATTTGAGGATTACCTGTACCGTGCTATAAAGCACTATGAAGTGGTATATAAGTCTAAGTGCTATTGCTATTTTCCATTTTGACGCATCTCTTTTTCTATCAGTCTATTCAGTGATAAATGTCTGGTATCCTGTTCATTCTCAAAACTTGCCCATTAGATAAGGCACCCTTATTTACATCTGGTGGATGAGTTAAAGTCAATAAAAGTTGAGTAGAGCAGTCTAAATAAACTTATTAATACAAGCATATTTTCCTACACACAAAATTGTATCCTGCATAATTGTTAGGTTTATTACTATTTTACCAATAATTATGATTTTTTTCCCCCACAGATGACATTTTTTTCAATTTTTGAGATGGCAGAGAAATTTCCACATGAGGCTTTTATTGTATAATTATTCTACCTAAACACAGAATTTATGGGCGCAGAGAATATCACCTTTATCTTGAATGTTTCCCATTTTTCTCACTTCAGCTTCTTTTTTCTCTGAAACAAACAAACAAACAAACAAACAAACAAACAAAAAGGTAAAGGTTTCCCTGTCAGCCATATCTGACTCTAGGGAGTGATGCTCATCTTCGTTTCCTAGCTGAGGAAGCCAGGATTATCCAAAGATGCTTCTGTGGTCACGTGACTAGCATGGTTATATGCCAAAGGCACACAGAATGCTTTTACCTTCCCACCAAAGTGGTACCTATTTCTCTACTTGCATTGGGTGGGCAAGAGCTGAGGCAAGGAATGGGAGCTCACCCTGTTGCATGGAGCTCAGGTCTTGAACCTGGGTGGTTAGCTCTCCAACTGACAAGTTCTGTCATCGTTCAAAATAAAACAAAATAAAACACTGTCAGAGAGGTAGCACTGGGATAATATGAGAAGCATATCTGTGTGTTTTTTTTTTAAAAATCAAAAGATTCCAATGAAGAAAAATATCTTTCTGTTTTATTCTCTTTCCTGGAAGATTAGAATGTTGCTTGTTGTTTTCTATTACTATTTCTATTTGGCAACAGGAAATTTCAAAAGATCTTAGAATATCTGGATATATCCCAGACTGGGACAGGAAATATGTTGCATATACATACATACATACATATACATACATACATATACATACATACATACATACATACATACATACATATATATATATGAAGATTTATTCCATGCATTGACTTGCTTAATGCAGATTTTGATAAGTAATTTCTCAAATGGAGCAGCTTTGAAATATACAGCTTCATTCATTTTTTTTTTCCTTGCAGGTTGAAAGGAGATGTGTTCATATTCTCTTCATTCTTAGGCAGGGCTATTTTTTTTTTCCATCTCTGTTATTTAGTAACCACATTTTATGTCACACTAAGTTCAATGACTCCAAGACATTCCCAAGCAAAGAAGAGGGAGGGGAAAAAAAGTACACAAACCTCATGTACCCAGAGCTCTTTTGCATAATTATGCACAGCAAGATATTCAAGTACAGTACAGTGGACAAAAGGTCAAGGACTGTATTTTTTTTTTCAAAAACAACACAGAAAACTACAAATAAACCCTGAAAAAAAAAACACGTGACAAAGAATCCAGTCAACACAAAGGACACAAGGAACGCAAGGGGAGGGGAGATAACAGGAAAGAACTGACAGAGCATTTTCGTTGAGCATTTCATTCTGTAATCTGCTGGCATTTTGCTTAAAATTTTGGATGAGTGACACAATAGACAAAGAGCATAGCTCTTTGCTTCCCTCATTTTAATAAAGTCTATACAGAAAATACTGCTGAGTGATTTGATCTAGATACTATAGCTGTGGATTTATTTGGTTTTCGTGGGCTGTAGTTCCATGTATACTTTCTGGAAGACAATCCCATGGTACTTTTGAATCACTGCGGTTCATACACCTGCCCACAAGCCTAAGTGTATAATTTGCTTTCATTGTGTTTCCTTTCTTTCTCATTACTCTCTGGAAAGCTTGGGTTTTATAGAGATTCATCCATGTAAATTAAATATTATCAATAGTAGAGATTTAGTGCAAGAGGTATTTTTGCACTACCGGTCCTCCATAAATTTAAAAAGAAATAAATCAAGATGGTGCACATAATGGGGAGCTGCACTGCTCAGAGATAATGTGGTAGAAATATTCCTTCATCACTAGAATTGACACGAGATCAGATCAATGATTCTAGAGAAACCTATGGAGGCATTAAGTGTAATTCTGTAGATGAAGCTGAGCTGGCCCCAGATCTAATCAGAAAAGAGCCTCTGCAGACCATTTTGCTTGAATGTATAGTTCAGTGACCTGTTGTGTTACTGAACTATATATTGTACAGCCAGTCCTCGACTTACAACAGTTCATTTAGTGACCGTTCAAAGTTACAACAGCACTGATAAAAGTGACTTGTGACCATTTTTCACAGTTACAACCTTTGAAGCATCCCCAGGATCCTGTGATCAAAATTCAGATGTTTGGCAACTGATTCATACTTACGACTGTTGCTGTGTCCCAAGGTCATGCGATCATCTTTTGCAACCTTCTGATGAGCGAAGTCAATGGGGAAGCCAGTTTCACTTAACAACCAGGTTACTAACTTATTACCTGCAGTGATTCACTTAACAACTGTGGCAAGAAATTTCGTAAGATGGGGCAAAACTCACTTAACAAATGTCTCACTCAACAACAGAAATTTTAGGCTCAATTGTGGCCATAATTCGAGGATTACCTGTACTGGAAAAAAACCCTCTCTTCTGTGTTTCAGGTTATTAGTTATAATTATTGAAGCAATAAATATTATTGTTGTAAGGTCAGAATAAAATCACCCGAGCTAACTAAAAAGCATACAGTGAAAAGCATAGAGATCCTGTTAAAACAAACAGGAGCCTTGCCACAATCTCTTAATACTACAAAAGCAAAATTGAGACAGACACCTTGGAGTTTTAGCCAAAGCATGTCTCTCTCTTATTTTGATGGACAGAAGGGTAAAAATGCCATAGCCAGTTGGCAGCAGATGTAAACAAATGTGTCTGCCAGCAAGTAAATTATGTGTTCAGCCTCTACATTGGAAAACCTGCTAATGATCAGTCCTGATGCTTTTCTTCTGCTAATTGGATAATAGAAGGGGTTGTGAAGGCCAGTTTGTTTATGTTCCCTCACTTGTCCTCTTCAAAGGGACAAACAGGATGTTCTATAGAATTTTAAGAAAAGTACCTTTCAAATACATTGGGTGGGATGCTCTGAAGCAGAGAATAATATCCTTCTGAAAGGCACATGTTAATCAGGATGGGTAGATGCAGAAAAAAGGGTTTCTTAAAGTGAGACTGCCAGGTGACAAATTGCAAGGGTTGAAAAATGAACATCACAGTTGGTTTCCTATTGTTAGTTTCTACTAACCGGTTACATCATGCCATCCGCCCCCACCACACACCCCAGCCTAAGAGAAGAAATTCCTTAACAGCACATCTTCTCTTCTTCTTGTGCCATATCCTTTATCGGATGTTGGCGATCATGTTGGCGATCCTGTTTTTATCAGCAGCCGCATAAAAAAGTGCTGCTGAGTTTTCTCCAAACCAGTCCCTTAGATTTTGAAGCCATAATCTTCTTCTTTTGCCTAGACCTCATTTGCCTTCAATCTTTCCATGGAGGATTAAATGGAGTATGCTGTATTTTTCTGGGTGTCTCATCACATGTCCAAAATATTCTAATTTTCATTTTTTAATTGTTTTGATGATTTCCCTGTTTCTCTTTCTCTTACTTTCCTCAAGGAAGAAGTGCCAAGATCTATAACACATTTAAAACACATTTAAACAATTCCACAAAGCAGATCTCTTAAAAATAACTTTATGAGATAATTTCAAATATTTCAACAAATATCAAAGCATTGAATTCCATACATGAGGCTATCAGGTTGATATTGAGAAATAATTTAACCCCAAAAATGGTTGGCAAATTTGGTATATTCATGAATATAGCTAGACTCCTTCCCCAAAGAAGTGTCTATAGACAGCTTAGTTTCTGTATTAGGTTCTATGCATTCAAAGATGCTGTAAAAAAAGGACCCCAAATCAAGCAGTTTATGGATATGCTATTTTCAATCAGTTTAGAGCTTCGTTGGTGTAGTGGTTGAAGCACTAGGCTAGAAACCGGGAGACTGTGAATTCTAGTCCTGCCTGAGGCACTTTCTCTCAGCTCTGGGAAGATGGCAAGGGCAAACAACTTCTGAAAACCTTGCTGAGAAAACTCAGGCAATCATCAGAAGCCAAAAATTGACTTCAAGCTGTGGTGTGTGTGTGTGTGTGTGCATGGATCTCTGAAACGATGACCCAACAGGTCATAGGTTATCTAATCTAATAATTATCTATTGTTCTTCTCCAGTTTGATAGCCTTTCAGCTCCAGAATTTCCAGTTAAAATGGCTAATGCATCTGGAAAGCACCATGCTGGAAAAGATTGTATCATAACAAATTAAAATTCTTAATTTGTCACACAACTGCTCTTTAATCATACGCATACAATAATTCATAAAAATAATTTATAGGAAATAATTTTCCTGTACATTTCAATCTACTCCAGTAGATTTAATGGTACGGCTTTATTATTCAGTGTTATTTTCTGTTTTTTTTATCTGTTGCATATTCTTAAGAAAGATGTTCTGTTCAACATTCTGAAGCCCTGTTTCATTTGCTCCATCTCAATACTCAAAGGAATGCACTCCAAAATGTAGAGCTTCTTGTACAGACTCCAGCCGATAAGGGTGAGGTCATAAGATGCATGATCAACAAAACAATCATGTAATGAAAGTGTTCAGAATCTCACAAAGATGATTTGTAGGAATTCACCAGACATACATTCAATAAACACAATCCTAGGATGTTCTGTAAAGGACAGACCCAGTGGCAATTTAATTAAGTTCCAAAATAGGACAGAAGTGGGCCTTTTCAGTTGGCATGGCATACTTTACTCCTAGTAGCTTGGAGCAGCATGGCTATTTGCTAGAAATGCTAAGAGTTAGAACCAGGACAATTATTGATACTTCTGAACAAACAAACAAATTGATCACTGAACAAATCAATCCAGAGTTCTCACTCATGGCACTAATGACCAGAGTCAAAATATCATATTTCAGACATATTATGTGAAGACGTAGCTTTTTAGGAAAGTCTTTAATTCTGGGAAAAGTGGAAGGAAAGAAGATAGATGGCCAGCTGTAAGATGTATAGACTCAGTTACGGCACTGATGAGTACATCATCGGAAGACTTGAAAGACCAGGTTAGATTGTCATAAAGCAAATCTATCTATGTAGTTGCCAGGAGTCACGAACAACTTGATGGCAGACAGTCAATCAATATATGGAACATCATGGATTTCTTTCTTTTTGGGTTAGAAAAACACAGGGGTTAACTCAGGATAAAACACTGTCAATTTACACTGAGAAGCTTTACACCAAAATAATAAGTAAACTACCTCTTCAATTCTCAAAGGCTTCTACGGGACTAGAGCAATGAATATTTCAACACTGTCGTCTAATTAAGCAGGGGAAACCATACAACTCACTTAGTATTCCCAGAATTGAGGCTTTTGATTAAGAGCAAAACACTTGAGACTGATGTTAAGAGAGCTGGAGTAGGCAGGTAGCACATAGCAACTACCCATGTTGAGAGATCCTAATTGGAAATTCTCAAAGTAGATTTTTTTATTTCTTCCCTTTACTACATTTTCACAGGAGCACCTTGAATGTTTTTACTGTATTTGCAAACAACTACTTGTATCAAAGTTGATCAAGAAATGTGGCAAGCCCCAACTCCATTGCTTATCAGTAACATTAGAACAAGAGTGCATATTTTCAGAATATGTGCTATGGCAATATGTTTTTTTCCAATTTAAAAATGTGTTCAGAAAAAAAAGAAAGAAAAAAGTCAATCCCATCTAGACTATATATTCTGGATGATTATTTACCATTGCTTAACTGGTACACATATTTTGTTTATTTTGTCAAATTTACTTAGTCACCCTTCTCACACACAGTGTCTTCATATAGTACTGTACACAGCATGAAAAATTGACCCTAAATAACAATGATATTCAAATCAATTATATCAAATTCATGATTTTTAAAAGGTATTCACATTTCTATTAATTCTTTAAAAAACTGATTCAAGTTTACACTTCGGCTTTCAAAAAATGACATTTAAAACATTTATATATTCTCCCATCTTACTACCAACTCTGGATAGCTCCCAGTCAATCCCTGACTGAACAAATGGTCGTAAGGTAAAGACTTTCCTTTAGGGAGGGAATAAGTCTGAATGCAGCAGGATAAATTTGTAGTTTTGCAGAGAGGGGAGAATGTGTTTGTCCCATTATAAAAAGTAAAATATGAAGACATTAAATCTTACCAGTGGATTTAATTGGTTTAGAAACCAAAAGAAAATGTATCTTGAAATGAGAGGTTATTGCTTCAAGGATATAAAGAGCTTCATGAGGAACTAGGAAAGTGGAAAGAATCATATGTAGAAAGGGTAATTATGTGGCTTGTTCACATGCACCTTTGAAATTCAGATATCATGCCCTTTGTACAATAACACAAGTCAATGTTTATTGTTTGGAATATTTGTTCCAAAGAACTTTGACAAGTGACGTTGAAAAAAAACCTCAAACAGTTTAATGTTGAAGAACTTTCCAAATTATACTTTCCATCTCACCCAGACTGACATGTTTGCCCTTGATAACCAGACTAGACTCCACCCCGAGCATATGGACATTTTCTCTGACTGTTTTGTTAACTCAAGAACATTTGCCAGAAAAGATATTGGTGGTAAGAAAGTCTAACACTTTCTATTGGGATTATTTCTTTTCCTTTTTCTATAAATGCATGTGCATCTTGACAATAAAATCCTGTGCAGAAGTCCCAGTAATTTTAACAAGAGTTAAAATATGGTAGTACATATATAGTTTGTACTGGCAAGGTTGGAAGAAATGATAAATATTGTCTGAATTTGTGGAAAAGCCTTGTTAAAATCTGTATCCCTTAAAGAAACCAAGATGATTGTGTTTTATATCTAATTCCTAAAAATCAGAGTTAACATTATGGAAAACTAGGTACAGTACTATACCACAAAGTTTTAAATTGACGTAGAGAGCTGAATTTTCCCTTACTAAGTGAACTCTTTCTGATATAGTGGCACAAATATCAATCAGCAAAACTAACCTGTTGGTTCTAATCATATCAAAAATACCACTGAAAGATTAAACGTCATAACAAGATAAAGTACAAACTGTAAAATGCAAAAATGCTATCAACACAGAACGTGATACCACAAAAAAAATGGTATAAATAAAATTATATTGCTGACGTGCTGATTCCTGTGAAGCATTTGAGAACATGGCTTCTGGTTTTCCAAATTTTACCACATTCAAGAATTGTATCAGGATTGAGGCCTTGTCATATTAGCTTTGTAATGCTAGCATCAATGGCTCTTAATAGTATTCCCTCCTGCTGGTGTGAGGGCAATTGTTTAAAAACATGCAAATACGGGTCTAGATATGGAATAAATTCATTGCTACTGGACTTCATCAAAGTATCTTCTTATACACTTCAGCAAAATTTAAAGGGAGGAAGAAGAGAGTCTGACCATATAGGTTTATTTAATGAAATAAGTTTTATTTCAATTAAAAAAGTTAACTCAAGAATGAATTGACTAATGCTAGTAACAGTTTAGTTGCTAAAAGGTATAGTACATTTTAATAAGCAGTTATCAAAAATACCTTATTTCTTGCTAAGGCTTGTATTTAAGTATACAATTCATCAAGGAGAAGGGATATAGCCAGGGTACCCACTAAATAAAATAACTTTTCTTAAATGAAGATGTGTTGTTTGCATAGCATTTAAAAAGCTGCTATCAAGGGTGAACATCTAGTCTTTCAAATACTATATATGAAAAGGATAAACATACACATCAGCAAAATACATGAAGTGCAAACCCAGCAGTAATAATTCTTGGGCCTTTATTAGTTTGTACTGTCTGCAAACCAAAGTATGAGTCTTCAGCACCACCATACCAGCCCATCACAGGGTTATACTATATAAGTATGATAAAAATTCACAAAGACAAATTGTGGTTTACTTTACAATGAGCACAAGTTGCTTACAGTTTTGCAGTTTATCAGGGGCGCTAATTTAGCCAGACCGCTATCAGTCTGACGTATTTGCTATGCCACCAAAAGAGGAATCAAGCCGTAATGAATCATATATATATATTATGTACCTATATTAATTGCTCTTAAGATTATATTTTTCAAATAAGGAACAGATTTTAAGGAAAAATCCACAACCCCTCTCAATTCAGGGCAAATTATGTAAGAAATATGCGCCAAAGCTTGTCAACCTGATTTTCTTTTGAGGAGCTGGGATTCCAGATTCCTTATTTCCCAGTTATATGGTCACCAGGCAGTGGCCTTTGAGAAATTTTATTTAGATCAGAGTTGAGCAATCACAACCTCCTCAGATGTTTTGGAATTTACCTTTTCATTTGACCTAGCCTGTTATAGATTGTGACGTCCAAAAGATGTGGGGAGAGGCAACCCTGATCTCCATTCCAGCAGTTGTTTATTAAGCAAACACTGCTGAAACCTTGGTTTGATTTGCTGTGACTCTGATAATAGCTAAATAAGGAAACAAAACCCTCCCACACAATAGTGGAGATTATTACATCAGTATAGAATTGAAGTGGAATGGAAAACAAGGCAGGGTAATAATTGGAGTCTATTCTCTTAGTGACATTTGCTGTTGTGTACAACTGCTCCCAGTGTCAAACCAGGACAAATAGCCCTACTTATTTGCTGCTGTTAAAACTGGCTCTGCTAATTACACTAAACATTTCCAAACAAACAATCCTATTAAAAGTGGTGCCCACTCATTAATCAAAGAGACACAACACTGAGTGAACAATTTATTTGATTTCTTCTTCATTCTTCATTTTCACTACCCAAATTGTTCCTGAATTAGTGTTTGCATGCTCACACATCTTCAGCCATGAAATAGCTGATTTCTCCGTTGCCAGAAACATTGAGTAATGCAACTGCATTGATAGGGCCAAACCTCTTGATCCTTCCCGCTAAATGTGCTCTCTCCTCACCAGAAGGCAAGTCAACTTGTTAGTAGTAGGGCAATCTGGTCTGGTGTGTGTGTTTTTTTTTCAGAAAAGAAATCATAAAAAGCAATGGGGATTATTGACAGATTGTAAATTGATGCTCAGGTTACATGTGGGACTGGCACATGAAATAGAGAGACCCTTGGCACAAGCACTGAGGATAGACAGGAGAGAAATGCATGCAATTCTAGAAAAAGTGATACAGCATGCCTTTTTTTTTTTTTTTTTTTCCTGTGACAGCCTTTGTATCACAGGACCTTCATTCGTCTTGTGACTTTTTCAGCTTTACTAGATGCAAATGTCTGGATGGCCACTGTATGGCAGCAAAGAGATACAAAGCTCAAAGACTTTAATGCCACTTAGTAGTCATCTGGATGTTGGCAGTTCCAATCTGGTAGTTTTAAATTTTATAAAAGTGGCTTTTTGTTAGTGGCCCATGCTTTTTTTTATTGCTCCTTTTTTCAAAATGTACACCATTATATCTTCTAACCATATTTTTAGTAAGTTTTCCAGTCCATTCGGACTTGTTCAGGTTTGATTGCTGCTATAAACAATTGTTTTTTTTCTTTGATGTGGGAATGTTCTGTTTTACTAGAACTTGATATGATTTTATTACATTGTTGGTTGAGTTGCATTTGCTTTTAGGTTTTCTTTCAATTTAGTGTTTGTTTTGTCTGCTTGACTGAAGTATTGTTGTCAGTAGTTTTCCTGAGATGGTGCTGAATGAGTACTTGTGATTTTTTACTAATAGCAATAGCACTTAGACTGATGTAGCACTTCACAGTGCTTTATAGCCTTCTGTAAGCAGTTTAGAGAGTCAGCATATTGGCCCCAACAATCTGGGTCCTCATTTTACCAACCTAGGAAGGATGGAAGGCTGAGTCAACCTTGAGCCGGTGAGAACTGAACTGAGCTGGCAGTTGGCAAAATTAGCCTCAATACTACACTCTAACCACTGCGCCATCATGGCTAATACAAGAATAGCAAAGGTGACACACTGTCATCACTCTAGGATTATGCTTTCACATAAAGAGTGCCTTAACCCAGAATTCCCTATGCTAACCATCGATAGGTAGGTGGTCTGAATTATTATTTTTCTATAATTAGTAAAACATAAATCATTGCCTAAGACCACCTACTTGGATCTGGATCTGACGGACTGAATTCTGCTAAATTTTATATGCATTCTAATTTGATGGCAAACTTAAGCTGGAATAATTA